ATCATATAAAATATCACAGAAACTTGAAATTCTATCAAATAACCAATATTAATGATAATATCCAAATATACCCCCTATATACTATATGTTTATTTATACTGTATACTGTAGGGGGTATATTTTGGATATTATCATTAATATTGATAGAATTTCAAGTTCCTGTGAAAATATAAATGTATCTATAATAAAACGTAATAAAAGTGACATAAAATTCAATCTTTTTTTTAATTCATTCAAAGCACTATTAACTAAATGTATCAGATTTCCATTATCACGGATTTTAATTGTAAATTTAAACACGTGCCATTATATCCAATTATTATCAAGCTACCATCGCCAAATTAATCATCTGCTATTTATATCGTCCGTGTTTCGCTCTTTCTCTATAATTATTGTGAGCGTTTAGACTGTGCCATTGTATACACTCAAGTGTTGGTATATTTTGTTCCTGAAGTGTTAATATATAGCCAATTCGTTCTGGAACGCGGAAGTTTATTTAAAACCCAAAGTTTAAACCTGAATGTCCCTATTGATAAGTTGTTATGACGTACACGTATACTTAGTTATCTCTATGTGCAAATAAACACATTACCCACTATATTTCAAGCTAGATAAAGATTTGATTTATGGAATAAGTTATTTAAGTATTACATTTTTTCCTTAAACAATGAAAGTTAGTCCGAATAGCGTAGTGTAGAGTTTAAATCTGCAAAGATGCACACTTTTTGAGTACCTGCATATTTTAAAAAGTTACCATTTTTTCTCGTATGTAAACGTATTATCATGACATTGTTTCATTTTCATCTATGTGATTTTTGCACAGCTGAAAGCTTAAGTTGACTGTAAAAAGTTAAAGCAAATTTTTTTTAATTAAACATACTTGAATAGTATAATATAAGTATGAAATTCACGTGCCACATATTAAATATTTCGGCAAATGTGTATATATCTACTTTCTTTCATTGCTTATGTGATAAGGTGGGTTCCAGCCCATATATAAATATAATAATGGCCAACAACACTGGCCTCTAGCAGGGTCCAATACAACAAAAGACATTTCCAACAGTGGTTAAATGACGCAATCGTAGAAACGTTGTCAAAGTTGATGCCAATTTTTTTAATTATACGACGCTCGCTTTTCCAATCACACCGTGCAGTTTTTAAACAGCGCGCACATTAGTTGTATGTTAGCAGAATCAATTCGTTACTGTACTTCTTTTCCTCCACAATAATGACGGTTTCCCCAGTTTAAAGATATAGGTAGAAATAACTCAGTTTATCAGCTTAAAAATTAAGTACAAAAAACAACTGCGCCTTGACAAAACTCTCGCTGAATCGTAATCTTAAGTACGAAGGAAGAAAATTTCAGGAAAATATGAGTTGGTAAATCTAATTTCATCTATTAAAACGACACTTGACTTATTGTCCTTGCAACAGGAAACAATTTCAGGGCTTACTTACTGAAAATAATTACAATAATTACATGTATTCTTTTGATTGTTATTTTATTTCCATCTCAAGTATTTCTCTCCATTGTAACATGTCGTGGCTGATATGTATATAAATTGGAATACACACTTAATGTAAAAAGAATAAGGAAGATATCACATCACATAAGTTTTTTTTTAAGCATGTTGTAAACATGAATACTTTACACATAATAGTTAATGGACACTGTACACCTTTAAATGAAAATGAGTTATTGACTGTCGATTGATAAAATTTTGGATTACACAATGTGCATTATTGTATTGACTGAAAGAGGTCTGATAAATGTTGAAAAGAGATGTAGCTCCTATTGTTTTTAATTTTGATAGTTTATATACATTTCATAAATATCAATATATCAATATATTTATTTAACTATCACTATAAATGATTAAAAGTGAGTCCTATTTATGTTATACATATGTGTTGACAATATATATTTACAGTACGTTTTACATGAATAGACATATCAGAAACTGTGTTATACATTTTGTTTGAATGTCTTTATGATTAATTTATTCAAATAATAAAATCAATTTTCCAGTATAGAAAATTTTGTTTTGTCTCTTTATTGGGAATTATTTCATGAAAACGGGCCGAATTTTTAGGAATTGGTTGGAATTACGTTGGAAACAAGTTGGTATTACGTCAGTAACTGGTTGTAATCATGTTGGAAACTGGTTGAATTCACGTTTGGAATAGGTTGGAAAGAAGTTTGATAATACGTTAAATAGATGTTGGATTTATGACGTTGGATTAACGTCGGATTCTGACTTCTAAAAACTTTCATATACAACTAAATTCCAACGTCCACCCAACGTCGGACTCTAACGTCTGAGCAACCTTCATACAACGTCATGTGTTTGCTGGGTAGATAGCTAATATAGATGTGTTCAAAAGGAAGTTAAGCGCCCCCAAAAATGTAATAATAATTTAAGAAAAAATCAACGTTTCTGAATAAGTCCAGATATTAATTATATGTGGTTTCAACAATAAAGAGTGATAAAACAAACCAATATACTAATAAATTGAAAAATGGACCGAGTTGGAAAAGAGCCGAGCTGACTCGGAGGCAGAGTTCGTTTTAGGGCTGAGCTGACTTGCAGTCTATCAAGCAAAATATATCAATAGCTTTACCAGATTGTGAAGAAAACTTGATTCTACATACGAAATAGATTTCAACTAAAATATCAACGTAATACAACGTTATAAAATATAAACAATAAACATCTTGACCTGCTGTAATTCTATAAACAACCAAATATATGTCGTTTTCCTGACGATTTTGCTACTGATAAATTCAAGAAAAAACAACGAAGTTACTAACTAAACAGTTATGTATAAAGGAGATTAAGTGTTCGTATAATTAAACTTACAACTCTTTTAAACACCTTGGACTTCCTAATCGATAGCAAATCTTCTCAATCTTTCTCGGAATAACTGGCCAATATGGCAATTGCGGGAAAATGACGCCAGAAGGATAATAGTTCGTATTCATACGCATACATTTTTTTTCTCTGACACTCACACTTTTTAAGCATGAAAGTTATCTAATATGTCAATCGTATTCCTTTTTTTCCTGAATGATTGTGTTCTATGATAGTTTATTCATGGCTTAATAAAATTGGCATTAAATTTATGCACGTACTTTGGCTCTCATGCATCTGGAACCAGAAGGTAGAAAAATAAACTGGTTCTCTTTAAATTTTTATCGACAGCTGGCGAAGTAATATTTTAATCGCGTAAAGCAATGATATATGTAAATCTGTGATAAAAGGATTTAAAATTTAGTGATAAAATGACCAGCCAATTTTAAAATAGATAAGGTATTGTGATCAAATGCTTTGTAATTAATCACTCAGGCCTATCGGCCTTCGTGATTATATTACTACGCATTTGAACTCAAACCGTGCATTATTCTACAACAATGCACTCAGAATGGATATCTTTTTCCTTACTATTGGACGTTACCAACAGTATACACTACAGAAAAAACTACAGACTCGGTATAACTTTTGCTTGGTTAATTTCATATTGTATACACTTCAATATATATCAGAATTACTTAGATTTGAATATAAGCATTGACAGCACATAAAAAATATGAGCAAAAAGTTCTCGGCCCGATACACTTCTAGCCACTACACTGAAATTTACACACGGTACGTCGATACTGATATCTGATTGAAGATTACTGACCGAGTTACACGCTTTTACACAGATCAAGTAACATAAAACACATTTTGATCAGTAGAGGGGTGTGCCATTTAGACTAAATGGAGAAAATTGAAATCAGAGCCACCATTAAGTACCTATGTAAGAAAGGGATGTTTCTCAAGGAAATCCATGAAGACTTCATGGATACACTTTGGAAGGAGCCCTCTTCCTATAGCAGTGTGAATAAATGGCTGCTGAATTTAAGTGGGCAGTGAGAGCATTGGAGATGATGAGTGGTCTTGGCGGCCAAAAGAGGCCGCCAACAATGAAATGCCGAAGCCGTGCACGATCTAGTCATGTGCGACAAAAGGCGAGACCTGTGAAGCATTACTTTGGAAGTGGGTATAAGCTTTTGTTCAGTTCAGGCAGTTCTGACTGATGTCTTTGGCATGTCAAAATTTCCGCTAGATGGGTCCTCAGACAGTTGACTGACGACCAGAAACGGACAGGCTTGACATTTTAAGATATCTTTTTCTCGTTACAAGGATTAACCTGATTTTATCTACCGGATCGTAACTCAGGATGATACATGGATCCATCACTTCGATCCAGAATCCAAGAAACAGAGCATGCAATGGAAACACCCTAACTCACCCCCTGCGGAGAAATTCAAGAGCGTGCCATCAGCAGGAAAGATGATGGCTTCAATTTTTTGGGATAGTCAGGGGATAATCATGATTGACTATCTTGAGGAAGGTCGTACCATAAACAGATGAAACTGACTCAAGGCATTCTTCTCCTGCACGACAATTCGCCTGCTCACACATCCAAAGTTGCGATTGCTGCTGCTACTAACTGCGACATTGAAATTCTGCCATATCCTCCATATTCTCTGGACTTGGCCCCTTCTGACTTCTACCTGTTTCCGAAAATAAAAACCAAGCTTCGTGGTAGACGTTTTGGAAGCAATGAAGATGTCATGCAGGCGGTCAATGAGTTCTTTGACGACCAAAATAAGGAAATCTATTCGGAAGGGTTAAACAAGTTGGACCACAGGTGGGCAAAAAGGATTGATGTAGAGGGTAATTAAATTGAAAAGTAAGTTAGTTGGGTTCTCTGACTACCAGAAGCACATCGGGCCAAGAACTTTTTTATCACTCCTCTCACACGTTTAATTAGGAAAATCACATAATTTACATACAATATATTAAAAATGTATTATAACATCATATGGAAATCAATACAAATCAAAGTTTCGGTATCGTTCAACTGAATGGACATTTTATATATTGCTTGCAAAAAAATGTACAATTTGACAAAGTATGATGTTCAAATTTTCCATTTATCCTAATGTTAAGTACGTACAAGTATATTTGATCTCAAATGTTTGTTTTGCTTTACAGGACTTGATAACATATCAGCTTTTAAAGAACGTTCTTTTTAAATATTTGATTGTGGTGAATCGTCGTGATAAATTTACGTTTAACTACATTTTTGTACAACTTATATAAATATAATACTTTTACACTGTTGTATGCATATAGGTTGTAAAATTTGTTTTAAATAAATTGATGATTAAAAAAATATATTCCATTGTGTTGTATTGTACTTTGTATTGATTTGCATTGAATCAGTTTTGTATTGTATATTTGATAATATATAATATTTTGTTTTGTACTGAATTGCATTAACATGAACATGAGCCAATATATGCTCTATTTTTACACAACTACAAGTTCTAATCACATTCCTAAGTTGATTAACACCAGTCAACCGAAAACACCTTTATCCGATATTTTGGTCTAGTAGACAAAGGTGTCATCTTTTCATGATAGGACACATACAGCTTTCTAGTCTTCCTACAGTACGCCACTGCCTTTGGGTACCAATTGCCAAGTTTCTCATTTATCGTTATTTTACACGGCTTACAGTTGTCTGATACTCTCCGCAAATTGTCGCCACTATCTTGATTCATACACACAAGAAATGTGCCATCATCTAATTCACAAATATCTCTAATATTTTCTCCGTCCTGTGTTGGTTGATAGGTATTCGTATCGTTCCCCTGCCAATCAAATTGTTTAACAGCCATCACAGGATTACCACGGTCACTCACATATATAGACGTCCCAGCAGAATTAACAACGATATAATAAGGTAAGCTAAACAGACTATTATCTCCACTTAGACTTTGCAATATTTTACCATGCAGATCAAGAACTAAAACTTTTCCTGGAACTGCAATACATGAAACAACAATTTTATCTCTGCTGCAAGCAATGCCATGACACCTCTCATTGATATTTACCTGGAGATCAGATGTTATCTGTCTATTTGTTAACGACATGAAATGAATACTTCTTTCATCAGGTACAGTGACGACGAATTTGTCATTGGTAATAGCTGCCAAATCAAACGGTGATTTACTTAGCTGTATCTCTGAGATAATTCTCTTTTGTACTGTATCAAAGCATTTTACTTTCCTTTTTGAAAACTCACAGACAACCATTTTATCTGACTGCAGAACGTCCATCCCAGTTATGTCACTTATCTTTTCACCAAGTGAGGAACTATTAATATCTTCAACAACTTCAAGTTTTAGCGTCTTATCCGTATATTGTGTAACCATGGATGTATTCATTGCTATAAGTTCTCCAAGCTTCTGGTGCCTATCTATCACATCGACAATGTACATGTTTTTGACAAATGATACAGTTTGAAAATCATCTGTTAGACTATGTTGTTTTTGCCTCACCCTCATTTCTTCGAGTCGTTTCTTTGCGTCTATCATTTCAACAAACAATTTATCACGGCGATGTTTTTGTATCAATTTATGTAGTCGTACTTGTTTCTCAACCAGTTCGTTTGTGATTGTTTGTACCTCCTTTGATAAATCATTCAGATTCGTTTGTTGTTTAAGAAGTATGTGGTCTGCTTCTTTGACAACACGTTTTTCCATTTTGTCTAGACGTGTATTTATTTCTTTTCTGAATTGACGAATCGCCTTTATTACGTCATCGTGGTTTTGAGAAATAGCTTTTATCTCGTCATTTACTCTCTTTATCTGTGATTTATAATTATTCTCCAGTGCTTTCATTTCTGTCATTGTTTCATTAAGTTCTTCACTGTCTATAATATATTTAGAGAGTTTTGGAATGTATTCCACATTGCAGGTCCTATGATCTAAGGTTGTACAAACACTGCAAACAACGGTGTCGTGATCCCTGCAGAAAAATTTCAGTTTTTCGTCTTCATGATCATCACAACTATCAAATTCGTCTTTTACGATTGGAACGCTTGATGTAGTTGGCATAGAATCTTGATCTAGTAGAATATGATGACGTGATGGAGTTTGTTTCTTGTGGTGCTTGTAACAAGTGTCACAAAGATGTTCTTTGCAGGTTGAACAATAACCTTTTGCTGGTACCCGGGCACCATCTCTATCACACGGGATACAGAACAATAAAAAGTCCTCAGCTGAACCTCGTGAAAGAGAAAGAGTCTTTTTTGGTTTTCGTTTACCAGAAACTTCCATAACTTGTTCTGAAATTCATGAATTAATGACAGATTAAAATGATTTTTACTAATGTACCATTTTTTTTTAACAAAATTTAATATAATAGATGATCTCTTTATACAAAACTAGATGAAAACGTTCTACACCTATATGGTTTCAATGATCACAAGAAAATCACCGTTGCAGATTCGAATCCCGCAAGGGACTTTGAATTATTCCGTGGGAGGAAGCTATCCAGCTATTTTTCCGGAACGTCGGTTGTTCTAAATAGGTGCCCGTTTGTGTCTGAAAACATGTCGTCTTCATTTACCAGTACAGCTGGAAAGACGCAATATTACCTCTGCTGTGTTGGTGCGACGTAAAACGCAATCAAAATATGTATTCAGACAGCTTCGAATAAGGCCGTCTAGTAACAAATTTTAACTAAAAGATCCAGTTTTTTGTAATTAAGTATGTAATGTGTGTGTGTGCGTGTGTGTGCGTGCGCACGCTGTGTGTGTGCGTGCGTGTTGCCAATATGGGCAAGCCTTCCAGAAGAGTATTAGTCATTTTATGTTTTTGGAGGATAGTGCAAGATACAGAAAAATGCCCAAATTCCAGAAGCTTTTCTTGGTTCTTTAACGTGCCAAGTGTTTAAGCACTTATACACGGGACCTCGATTTAATGTCTCATCCGAAAGACTGATCAGTAATTTTAGTTTGCCAGCCGGGAATCGAACCCATAATGTTGAGATTACAAGTCTCGCGCTCTAACCGATTGAGCTATGCGGGCTGGATGTCACATACAGTAGTGAAGTTTTATATATGTATATAATTATTAATTATTCTACTAAAAACCAAACATACGAGAATGTATTATTGTCCAACAATATTGACCTGGCACTTCATAAACTTGTAATTATGCTTTAGCTCACACACGCTTTAAGGTGACAACGGAGTCAATTATCACTGAAAAAACCTAAAATGAGATTTTTTGCTTAGTAGATTTATCAACCATTTCTGAACACATTCGTGATTTAATTTTGGAAGCAGTTAGTCCAAAAAATGTGTTTTTAAACGTTTTTAAACGGTACCTGTACGATTTTCATCTGCTATTCGCGTAACCTGTCAATTATCGATAACGCTCCGCCCCCTGTTGAGGCATCAATGAGGGAAATCGGTAGTTCCATATATCCGTGAATTACCGGTCCATACTGGTCTATACCACTCGTAATTCATGTATCGTACAAATACCGTACATTTTTTATGAATATCGTCTACCTTTTATTTAGCATTTTTTTATTAAATAAGAAATTGTCGGCCAATGTACGTAACATAATGTATAAACCATAAACAATTAAGCATAGCGGCAAATCGCACGACCACGGGGTTGTTTAAAAATATGGTTGCTAAAATATCAATAATGTGTGAAAATAATTTGTCTGTCCCGTTAATCTGATATATATTACATTGAGTTTATGGACTTTTGAACGGATTCAATGGCTTGCTTTACATTCAACCTCGTTTTCTAACAATGTCAAGTAAAACAACAACAAAAACAGACAACTTTTTTATGTGAACGCCTATATGACTTGCGGTACGGTGTCCCTGACAAATTTCTAAACCATTTTAGATTGTTTAAGGATGATTATTTCTCTATGAATCAATAAAAAAAATTAATATATATTATCAGTGTATGCTTTAAATATATTGTTCGCCAGTAAATCGAACACAGTACTAATAAACCTGGGACAAAGTATGGAATTATTGTATACCCCAGTAGAAACTGGATCTCTATGCCGTGCGTAAATGATTTTCATGATAATAGATGTCAAGAAGGTCAGATCATAATTATCGAGTGATACCTTTTATTTCTATTAAAATATGTCAAGCATTTATATCAATTTGGAGGAAAAAATATATAATATCCCGTTCTAATTTGTACATCTACCATGGACTTTAAAAGACCGTCAGAAGCTAAGTTTTTTGTTATTTTAATTTATATTTTAACGGAAATTCATACACGAATACACAGACAGAGTGACACTGGTATAATATAATAATAATGCTGATGATAATAATAATAATAATAATCTTCAAACGTGAAACACTGGTATAATATAATAATAATGCTGATGATAATAATAATAATAATAATCTTCAAACGTGAAACGATTAAATACCCCGCTAACGGTGCGCAAATACGTTCCATTCCCCCCCCCCCCCCACCGAGTGCCTCAAATTTTACCGAAAGTCACGTGACATGTGAGACCGATACCAGACGAAAAGTAAATCACGTTAAGATTTGAAGAAATTTCTGTTATAAACTGATATTAATCAGCAAATTTTTAATTGGTCAGATGACACTGGGTCATAAAATGTTGTTAGAGTATGTTACCGCAACTTGTGACCCTCTCTGTTGCGATATTTGTGTATTATGCAATTATTTAGCGTGAAACGTAGGGGTCCGAGAGAGAACAGCCGATTTATGACACTTCGTTTGATGCGGGTCGGACTAACTTTGAATCGGCATAACTTTTTTAATAATCAAGCAATTAACATGCGGTTTAAAGCACATGAAAGGGAATTTATTTACGGAGGGAACAGTGTCAGGGATTTTTGTTTGCTCAATCAGAGACTTAATTATCTTTAATTACGTAATATGTATGGTGAAAAAAGTCGTATAAAATGTTTGACGTTACGTAATATTTTTTTGAGAAAAAGATAGAAAAAATTTGAGACACGGTTCCCCAGATATTATAAGTATGTTTATTTTCCAAAAGTTTGATGACAAAAAAATAAAAAATGACTTTGATATGACGATTTAAAATTTTAGGATTTTTATTAAAAATCAATCATTTACAAAGGCATTTTTTTCAAATATGTTATTTTTTATGATGATCAACGACATTTAATGCACAAAGATTAAATAAATAATAATTATTACTAAAATAAGTTGGTTTAAATGACATTTATGTGAGTACCACGGAAAGTGTCTGTTGTCACCTTAAGGGCAGTTACATGTATAAAAAATACTACAGAACAAAACGGTTTGCAAGAGTATCTAGAGAATGACAATTTAAAAATTAAAATTAAAAAGAAATCGCTGAAATAGGATTCGAACCTACATTATTCTTCTAGTCAACTGCGCTAAGAATGACCTTCAATTTTCACCATTGTAACAATTGGATATTTACATTCATATCGTCGTAATGTTACGGAATATACCGACTACAGGGTAAAATGCAAGAGTGCTAGGTCAATGTTGTTGGACGACAAATATGTACATCAAATGTTTATTTACATTTTAATTAAAAGTTGAAATTTATGCATTTATTTTTATTGAAAAAAAATTGGCTTAGACTTTATCGACAATTAATCTCTTATGACCTCCCTTCATTTACATGAAATATTAAAATCGGTGATATATTTTACAAATAATGGTTTTTGGACTAACAATATTGTTCCTTTAAGATATTAAACCATACAAAATTTGTATTACAGATTGTGTTACCTCACACTTATTTTCGGAATTCAGACATTATTACGCCTGTTTGTATAAATTTAAATTAAATACAATGGTATTAAATAGATAGATTAAACTTTCTCACATACTTAAAGTTCATTCAATCACAGTCACTTGATTAACTAACAATGTTTCACTCATTGTTGGTGACATTAGTAAAAGACTGATAATTACACTTCTTTCCACATGCAAAACTGCCCTTGAACATTATTTGTGCATAATAACCTACGAGGAATATTTGTAATGCATTGTGTAAAGCCATTGATAGTCATCAGTCTGAAAGATAAATTGTTAACCCAGGGCAAGTTAGAATGGAAAGACTATTTCTTTTTACTTTTAGTGAAGTTATATAGAATTTATCGATCGAATACTTTCAAATAACATGATACGCGATTTACCATGATTTAATGAGTTGTATGTTAGATATAAAATAAGCATTGTCTTTAATTAAAGGGATAAAATATGTTATAATTTTCCCGAACAAGCTTGGCTACATGTGCAGTTTTTACATTGTCAAATTTATTTGCAATAGATTTGCATTTAATTTGGGCTATTCAAATTTTACTGAAATGTATAAGAAGTCGATCCCTTACTGTTATCAATGTTCTTGTTTTTTTTGTTTTTTTTTCATGAAGCAACATGTTTACGCAGCGATCTAGAAATTGCGTGAATATATTTCATTTTTAAAAATGATAAACTGTACATAATACCATAAAGATATCATGTCATTGTTAAAAATCAGTTTATCATAAGCTATTTTAAAATTGCAAATAGATAAATACCTTAGTCTATTAACGTACGTTTCCTTTATTTCATTAAAAACACCTATCTCCCATTAAACAAATGCCTTTCGCCGCCATTTTGTCCTTTGTGCTATCGGGTTTGACAATGTTTAAACCCGTATAGATCTAATGTAGTCAAGTGCAATTAGACTTGGATAAAATTTCAAATGTATATTTGGGAATATAAATTACAAATCTTATGTGTGTGTGTGTGTGTGTGCGTGTGTGCGCGCGCGCGCGCGTGTGTGTTTTTGTATGTTTGTTTTTGCTATCATTAAAAAAAGTGAAATATTTATGTAGATGTGCCAACCTAGCACGATATTTAAACCTCTGAAATAGTGAAAAGACGGAGCAGTGAAAATGCATTCAGGCAGCGATGACTTTTCAAAGGCTTTTGAGAGCTTACTACATTCTTGGAAAGGGTGTTCTACAGGTAGACTGTACAAAGGATCAACAGCTGTTGGTAGGGGCGTTTTGCTCGACTATTCTCTCTACATATGAATTGACACGTGAACATGTTGGCCACTGACCTTTATTAACGCAAGAGCCTGTCTTGTTAATTAAACAATTTTCAAGTTCAAAAAGTTCCAGAACTCTTGACAAAATCCATTACACGCCCGGCAAACTGTCGCTCCACTTCAAAATTGTGGTGTACGGTAAAACGAGCGAAAGGCATTTCCGAGATAGAGCGGAAGGCCGATTTAAACGCCTAATTGTAAGTATTGTTTATGTTTTTGTCTTGTTATTCATTTAGTTTTATTTTTTCGAAAAACGGAAAATGTAGTTCCGTGTAGGATTGATTTAGGTTTCCAATGATCTAAGCTGTTACAAAAACAAAATTTTATTAAGCCCAGGAGAACTTTTCTCCCTGACGAAGCGAACAATGATTTGTAGAATATTGAACTTCCCTGCCATAAAATTGCCATACCCTTCAGATTTCTTGAAAAAGTTTATTAGTAAATTATCAACCCATAATAAGAACTTGTCCTTCGTGCAAAACAAATTACTCCTGAAGGATTTCTTAAATTTTTAAATCGATATTTTTCGAAAGTAGTAGAGCGAAAGGGCAAGATATGGAGCAAAAGGTTCGATGTTGAGCGCAAGGCAATATTAATTTGACGTATTAGGAGGAGCGTAGTCTATGATTTTTTATATATAAAAGCTATAGAAATTAAAATAGACATGATAAAGTGTTAAGTCCGCGATATATATACCTTTTAAAGACAACTAATAAAGTGTGATATCCTTTCAACGACTATAGCGTAATAAATGTAATCGCGAAGGTGTCACCGATTTCTGCCGTGTAGACTCCATTACTTATGTTCGAAATTGACCGCCTCAGTGGTCGAGGGGTTAGAGTCAATGACTTCTAATCCAGTTACTTCTCTGGCGTGGATTCGATCCCCGTAGATACTTTGGTAGCTTTGCAAGAGGAAGGTAGTCTAGTACTGGTGTACCTCTCCAGGAACGATGGTTAGGAAACTACCCGTCTATATGACTGAAATACTTTTTGGAAAAGGCGTAAAATGAAACAAACAAACAATGTTCGAAATTTGGATGAGGCCCTACCATTATATATAATTGAATCATACACATGTATGCATGGCATAATACAGGATGCCACTTATTCGAGGTCAATCATGATTTTTCACACGGTTATGTACATTTAAAAACGTGTGTCCATGCAAATTCGACAAAATCGAATATTTTCAGTTCTACCGCGAACAAATGTTTCGGAGCAGGTACGTGCAACACGATTGTTCACGCCAAAATGTTATGTTTTTCGAAAGTTATATATTCAAGGTGCAGAACAGAAAGAAAATTATGCAATGCATGGAATACATTAAATTAAATGGATCACTACTACCGAGTTCAGTTCACAATGACTTTCTGTCATTAATAGCTCTAACTTATATGTTCAGAGCAAACACAAATAAGCCACGTTTTCATGAATTTGTAAGGTGGGAAATCTCTATGAAAATGGTCGACAAGGTGTCAGTCGTTATAACGATATAACACGTGTTTCAGATATGTTTCAAGATACTTCCTCCCTTATTTAGCATTGTTGTTTAGTTTTTTTTATTTTCCTCTCAAAATGTAAATAGAAATGTTGAGTTTTATAATCAAACACTGCAGTACAAATCCTGGTTTAAGAAAAAATTAAGTTAAAATAAGTATCTAAGATTTTGTTTGTTTATCTATGAACAAAACGAACGTAATAAAGAAGGCAGAGCTCAGTCGGTGTACGGACAAAAATTATCAATATCATAATAGACCTAGCTATAGTAGAAATTTCTATTTACACTTTGAGAGGAAAATAAAAAAATACTAAACAATAATGCTAAATAAGGAAGGGAGTATCTTGAAACATAACTGAAACACGTGTTTTATCCTTATAGCGACTGACACTTTGTCAACAATTTTCATAGCGATTCCCCACCTTACAAATTCATGAAAACGTGGCTTATTTGTGTTTGCTCTGAACATATAAGTTAGAGCTATTAATGACAGAAAGTCATTGTGAACTGAACTCGGTAGTAGTGATCCATTTAATTTAATATGTTCCATGCATTGCATAATTTTGCTTCTGTTCTGCACCTTGAATATCTAATTCTTCGAAAAACATAACATTTTGGCGTGAACAATCGCGTTACACGTACCAGCTCGGAAACATTTGTTCGCGGAAGAACTGAAAATATTCAATTTTGACGAATTTGCACGGATACATGTTTTTAAATGTACATAATCGTGTGAAAAATCATGATTGACCTCGAATAAGTGGCATCCTGTTTTATGCCATTCATACATGTGTATGATTCAATGGTCGGGCCTCATCCAAATTTCGAACATAAATAATGGAATCTACACGGCAGCCATAGGTGACACCTTCGCGATTACATTTATTACGCTATAGTCGTTGAAAGGATATCACACTTTATTAGTTGTCTTTAAAAGGTATATATATCTCGGTCTCAACACTTGATCACGTCTATTTTAACTTCTATAGCTTTTATATGTAAAAAATCATAGACTACGCTCCTCCTAATACGTCAAATTAATATCGCCTTGCGCTCAACATTGAACCTTTTGCTCCATCTCTTGCCCTTTCGCTCCACTACTTTCGAAAAAAATCGATTTACAAATTTAAGAAATCCTTCAGGAGTAATTTATTTTGCACGAAGGACAAGTTCTATTATGGGTTGATAATTTACTAATAAACTTTTTCAAGAAATCCGAAAGGTATGGCATTTCTATGGCTGGGAAGTTCAATATTCTACAAATCATCGTTCGCTTCGTCAGGGAGAAAAGTTCTCCTGGGCTTAATATAATTTTGTTTTTGTAACAGCTTAGATCATTGGAAGCCTAAATCAATCCTACACGGAACTACATTTTCCGTTTTTCGGAAAAATACAACTTGAATGAAAATACAAATGAATAACAAGACAAAAACATAAACAATACTTACAATTAGGCGTTTAAATCGGCCTTCCGCTCTATCTCGGAAATGCCGTTCGCTCTTTTTACCGTACACCACAATTTTGAAGTGGAGCGACAGTTTGCCGGGCGTGCATTAGTGTAATGGACCTTTGGCAGTGACCTATTTAGTAAGTGAGTGAACCCATTCTCTTCAGTAGTGTTTTACACAAAAACTAAACCAAAGTGCAACGCTGATGCCTGGATGAGTAGAATAGTTCTCGATATTCTTCGAAAAATGATGATTTCTTTTCAGTATTTACAAGATAATAGGCTTGACTGTAATAATGCCTAGATTGCCTGATGTGTGACTATAAATATCATTCTCCAATGTTACAACACTTTTAACTAATCATGGACTTTAATTAACAAAGTCTGTGACTATACTTACCTATTTGCTGTGTGACTACTTTCTAGATTGCCACTTTAATGATGATGTATGTTGGTCATGGAGCCTTGAGATTCTGAATTTTTTTGTAGGAAATCTGGCTGCACATTTTTGAACTGATTCATTTTCATCAATATTTTACTTATGATTAGGGTTTCACACAGAACTAGAATATTCTAAAGTTTGAATAATAATAATAACAAAAATCTGGAAAATGTGTTAGCAAGTGTGTCAAGAAGCCATAAACGAGATACACAGACTAGTTTTAATTTTTTTAATCTTACATTTGTTTCTGTGCATTTTATTTAAACACGTAAACATGTCATTAATGAAAAGTCAAATTATTTAAGTTTAAGAATAAATCTGACAAAATAATTTGAAAAATAACTTGAACATTATTTCTATACATGTGTACAAAGCAATTCTATTAGATATTTTCATGGCAGCTTTTTAATCTAAAACCTGACCACAAATTTTTACAAGACTACACTTTTGTCACAAAATAAGCCAACACAAATGCTTAGTCTCACAATAGTGAACATTTACATTATACTCTCTAAATCCATAACAAATGACCAATTCCCACATTTTTCTTATCTGACATTTCACCTCTGCATGTGACCTTAGCATTGATCAAAGGGAGCTAAAATTGCGTAATACTAAGTAATACATTAATCTCCCAATGTTAAAGTTTCAGTATGGACATGTGTTTCCCTCTGACCTCCCAAGTGTAATTTATATACAAGTGTGACCTTTACCTTTGACATAAAGACCTAGTACATTTATGCAACACTACATCTCATGATGGTGAACATTTGTGTCAAGAGATACTAAAATCCCTTAAATCATGATATACAAAAACTTTACATTCTCTAGTGACTTACCTTGCATGGATTGACCTAAATTCTGCTGACACCCAATTATAACTAAAATTATATCCATTGATGTTACATGTTACAAGTTTGCTGGATAAGTGCCTCACATAAAAGAATAACCTGCAGGGACTCAAAACCACAGTGTTACGGGTCAAGTGTTTTGAAGTCAACGACTATAACCACTCAGCCACAATGCCCTTTTACATAGATGTGAAAACCAGATAGACACCAAAATAAAATGGAATCTAAACCTCTTATTTATCATAGAAAGATAACTGTTTCATTTCATTTCTGCATTTCAATGAAAACTGATATATAAATTATACAAATATATACAAATTAGACCATATCTTTGTTTGTCATCATCAGAAAAAATAAACAAAATATAGCACTCAAGAAAGAAAATACTACAGGCACTAAAATGAATG